TAAGCGGTGTATAGATAATAGATGGATGGATGAATATACAGAAAAATAATGATTAAAGTTATTAGGAACAAAAGGGTGGACAAAGTCATGCAAAACTGGAACGACAGAATAAAGCACCTGTGATATATGACAGTAAGTGTAGCTGTGGGGGTCTGCAGGTCACCCAGACTGCAAAATTAACCATACGAGCCCTCGGCTATTTTCTGGGTGATTTCACTACCTTTACTTTTAATCTGTTATCTTGGTCATTATAAGGGTGAGCCATTCATGCTATATTTTGTTCCCTTCAGAACAATCAAGACTATCTGGATCTGCATCATTTGATATGATATTACCTGTATATATATTTGTTTCTACACTCGGAAAAAAAAACATATTATGAAAGTGTTGTATTTGTACATGTATCTCACCATTAAATGCTGGCAGTAGAGATATCTATAAAGTGGAGATTGTTTTGAATCTGAAAATATCTGAAACATAAAGATGGAAGAGTCCATGATGTAGAATATGAGAAAAGAAAAAGTGCTTAATACCTAACAGCAATAAATGTCAGTCAATTTACTGAAATGTTCCCATACAGCAGCCTACTTGCTATAAATAATAGGGAGTTTATGACATATTGAACTGAAAGAATGTGAAAATGAGTGAACAAACTAACAAAGATATCACTCTACAGAAATTTGATCTGTCTTTACCACGTGTGTGTACACCCACATGTACATATGTAATTAGCATAATTATAAAGTTCCAGTTCTGTTCTTTTTGTGGTATGATATTAACATATCTATACAATGAAATTCACGAGTAATTAAAACTGGCGGAATGAAAAGATGGATTCAGAGTTGTAGTAAGCTTGTAATCACTGTGAAATTTGATATATATTCAAGATTGCTTGTTCTTGCTGACATTTTATTGTACAGATGCCAACCGGCATTGTTGGGAAGGTCAAGTCATCTGGATACGTGCTGCACCACGGTGCAGTTAATACTTGACGAGCAATTAAACTGAGATGACAAGATGTGAAAAAAAGGGCTTCTGCTGGGCTCTAAGGGTTAAAGGCACCACGTGGAGTTTTTTGGTAGCAACATGGGGCAGTTTTTATGAGTGTGTCACCATTTTGTTGGTCTAGTGCGCGCACAGATGCACATGTCTGATCCTACCACTGGTTTCACACTGGTGGCAGTAATGCACCATGAAGGAGACGCACCAACAAAGGTAGTGGTGAAGACTGTCAGCAAACAATATGAATAGAAACAACAAAGAACAGGAAAATACTTTACTCTAAAAAATGTATCATATTAGGTTGCAAGGATGCACAAGGCTTTTTGATGAGTAACACTGTATATGTATGGCAGGATGTGGCTCCGGTGGTAGAGCGGGCTGCCGTCTGATCGCATGGTTGCAAGTTTGTTCCCCGCCCCTCCACAGGTGAAGTGTCCTTGGGCAAGACTGACCCCAGAGTTGCTCCCTATGGCAGGCAGCACCTTGCATGAATGTTCTTTCACCATTGGTGTGTGAATGGGTGAATGAGAAAACACTGTAAAGCGCTTTGAGTACCACTAAGGTAGAAAGGCGTGATATAAGTGCAGACCATTTACCACATATATATATATATATATATCTGTCTTCTAATCACAAGGTTGGTGGTTTGATCCACTGCCCCTCCACATGTTGAAGTGTACTTGGGCAAGACACTGAACCCGAAGTTGCTCCCAATGGCAGGCGAGCCCCTTTCATGAATGTTCTTTCACCATTGCAGTGTGAACGTGTGTGTGAATGGGTGAATAAGAAACACACTGTAAAGTGCTTTGAGCACCACGAAGGTAGAAAGGCGCTATGAAAGTGCAGACCATTTACCATATTTATTCAAAACAAGCTCAACAGAGCACCTTGAACAGAGGCTAAATGTAATACTGAAGGTTATGTTAGGCCACTTTGAGCAGCTGCATTTCTTTCCTTTTGTTTACAACAGATAATGTGCAAAACTGTCTTTCCAATCTATTTGAATACTGTTGATAGGCATCATGGCTTTGAGAGTTTATGCACTAGAGACAAAAGATGAAAAGAGCCAGCAGACGAGCTGAGAGGAGATTGTGCACCAGATAGCCACTGGAGCTTTGCAGTGCATTCCAGTACTCGAGCTAACTTAGATCTCTTGTTATGGAAACAGAGGATCCACTGGTATTTTTGTCAAACAACTACAAAGACAGATTTTATATGTTCAGTCAGAGAATATGAGCTTAAACAACCACAAACAATCCCACATTCACAGCTCAGCCAATATTTAGTTAAATATTTAGTTGCGTGAGCCGAAGCCAAGGAGCTTCATCAAATATGTTCAACTGACAAATACATTTCTGCTTTAGACTTTATTTTGAAGTATTACTTTTTGTTGCAATTCACTTTTTTGATAGCTGAGGGTCTAAAACAGCAGGGATGGGCAGGAAGAGAAAGTAGGGGGGACGAGAACACGACTTTGGCTGTGATGTGTACATCGGCTCTTTTGAGCAAAAATAGCTGCAGGAATGGGAGCTGCTGCTGGAACACAATTCTGGAATCAAATCAGAACATAAAAATCTCTTTGTCCCTTTGTAATTCAGTTTCTGGAAAGCATCACCTTTTTGTGACCTTTTTTTGTTTTTTCGCAATCTAATGTTGCATGACTTTGACATTTGAATATATCTTGGAGAAATTCCGAGTTGGCAAGGCAACTGAAAATACCCCAAGTCTCAAAAACAGTAAAAACCCAGTGAGTGTTTGAAGCAATTAGCAAACACTTGTGCACTGTGTTTTATTCACTATTAACCACTGATACAGTTTTTTAAAGTCATAAAAAGGTTCCAATAAGACTTCCTGTGAAAGCACAATGTGGATCCCTAAAATCTCCCCTTCAAGCACCTCGTTTCTCCTTGTGTGAGGGATGGTCAATTACAGTAAGGAGGACCACAACACATGTATTTTATTTACCTCCCAGTGTAGCAGAGAGCAGGAAGTGGGTTCCGTATTTCCTGATGATGTTGTCAGTGATGGCGCTAAGACTGGGCCTCCTGCCCAGCTGCCTAATGGTCTGGAGGAACTCTGGGTCCAGCGGTAAGGAAAAGCCATTGTTCTCTTGTCTCTCCAGGGCCAAGCTGTTCACCTTCCAACGGCCAAACTCCCTGAAATGTCACACAAACACATGCTCAGCGTAAACAACAACGCACAGCACATGGATGCTGCATGCAGGCTAATTGGAAAAAAGTTCGACTGAAGCCAAATGTTATACGGACACGATCAGTCCAGCGGCAGGGATCTGGGAGCTCCTTTGAGACGTTTCCGTACACAATGCAAAATCCACCAACATTAAGCTTAACAGTAGTTTTCTATTCTGTTGTTGATTTTGCTCAATTGTTGTCATTTCAAAGCAGAAGACACAGCACCTCGTGATGAGGCTCATAATGAAAATTGTTCCTTGACGGACAAAAAATTTGACGTATGCATGACCTCTGAGTGAATCCTATGTTCCACTCTTTAAAAGATGAATGGTCTCATGCTGGTTCTACCTCCGGCTTGGAGAATTGCTTTGCAACCATAGCAAAAAACATTGTGTTTCTCTACCGATTTTAAATAATAGCGCAATCTTTTCTCATCTCCAGTCACTTTCTGAGGCGCTGTGGTTGGACGGGCTATAATCATGGATGGAGTCTTGCTGCTTTCGGGGGCCTGTGTTGGAGAGAACAGGCTTCGTCTGTAGTCGTCTGATATTCAGCCTGGCCTTGGAGCATGCCAGCTGCCTTTATCTACCAAGTGCAGACTGAGTGCTGCTGCTTGATGCGTAGATTAGCTCTATTCAAATACAGCTGGTAATAATCACGGTTCTCCCCCAACCTAGCAGGGGAGAAATCGAAGACCTTTCAGTCACTTTTGGGGCGCTGACTTGTCCTTTGAGAAAAGGATTACAAATAAAATCTTACATGTATTTAAACGTATCCTTGCTTTGTAAAGCAGCACCAGGTGAGATTTTCATACAAAAAGTCGAGTTGCTGCAACACAAAACAACATTTTTCAAAGGCATGCTCAATAATGTATTGTCCAACCACTGTTCTTGTGAATAAACCAGCAAAAGAATATGAAGTTGCAAATAAATGAACGAGAATTAGAAACCTCTCTGCTGATTGAGCTCCTACATCCTCACCTGCTACAACAACAACAAAGACATTTAGAGAAGTTTGCAAATGATTATGTGATGAGGTACCATCTTTCTTCTGGTCTTGTGACAAAAAAAAACAACAAAAAAAAAATCAATTTTGAAAAGTTAAATACAATGGAAAGTCTGTTGGTTCTGATTAGAATTCTCCGTAGTTGCCTTTACACCTAGATGCTAAATGAACACAGAATGACATGAGCATCTGGGTTGTAAACAATCATCAGCCATCACTCAGACAATCCCACAACATCTGACAAGAAACACTGCATTACTTAGTTATGACTTAATTACTGCTGTTTTACAGACAATACACAAAGAATCTATTCATCATCGCAACACTCTGTTTTCTCGAGCATTTTATCCATTTTTATTATCTTGAGTTGTAAAGATGCAGTCTGGATGATGCTGTAACAAAACAGACTTATTGGACCAACTGGCAGCCGCTTCCTATCAGTATTTTCTGTAATTTATTTCTGCATTTTATTCGCCGACTTCCACAAAATTTTAGCCTTTGAGTTCGTGCATGAAGTATGTTTTCAGCTGAAATTGGCCATCCTGGTGACCGTTATTTGCAATCTCCACGGTTTGAGTTCTGCCAGCAGGAAACCTTTATTGCATTCTCCACTCTATCTCTGTCCCCTCATTTTCTGTCGTGTTTCCTTTTTTTGGACTGGATAATGTCCAGATTTCCCAAGAGACCTAAGACTGACCATGTTTCTGCTCTATTGGCTAAACTACAGTAGATACTAGTGTTGGTCAATATGACAGTTTTCTAAAAACAGATAAATCCACAGTTCTATCAAAGAAGCATCCACCAGACAAACACCTGTGACATGTAGAATGGTGCTAACATGCTGTAGCTGGTGGCAACTGATATTCTCAATACCATGAAGAAAAAACAGCATTGGCGTTTCTGTTTTTTTCTACCTGAGTTAAAGTCCAAAATGTATGTTCCTTTTAGCTCCACTTTGGTCTCCACCAACTCCTGGTAAACTCTCTGGCCCTTAAGCTGCTTGCTGGCGGTTGCTAAATTAGTCTGTCTACCATTTGTTGCTGAAGAGATAACATCCAGAAGATTTATCATAGCTTGTTTGCTGAAAACAGCTTCTTGCTGCTGCCCGACAGGGTTAATGAGGGCACTGAGACTGAGCCACGTAGTAAATGTGCAATAAAAAAAAGTAAAACAACTAGATAAAAGATGCTGAAAGGCTCCGCTGAGTGTCATTGGGTAATAATTCTATGTGAGTTGATAATGGAAGGTTAAATAAGCTTTCTCTAGTTGGACCTTGATTTGTTGGATTTTTTATTCAATTGGATATGAATACAAAATATCTCAAGAGCAGAGAATTGCACATAGTGATACTGCAGTTTCTACATTGTTTCATAGAACAATTCTGACAACCATTGCCTGCGTGGAATACCAGCTCATATAGTTTCTAAGAAGCACGATCCCTCAAACTTTCAAAAGAATTTAAGCTGTTTTCTTTGAACGCTGTTTTACTGCTTGAAATGTGTTTTACAAAGGACAAATGGAAATGGATACTAATGGAGTGTGTTTTTCTCTCCGATGTTCTCCCTATGCTCTACAGACACAAACTAACTCCCATGTGCAAAGACACAGGCACATGCATTCACACACCCTGCAGCTGCAAATATCTACACAAAGCTGCCCATGCTGCAACAACTTTGCTATCGCCCAGGATCTCACACATCACCTAGGGGTGCGGGCCTGCTGCCAATCAATTTCTCACCAATAACAATGATCCCCTGAGAAAAATACAAAACAGAAAACAGCTCATTAAGGCCTGTTTCATGTCGGTGTTTCTCTATAACGAGCGGCCATTAGTGGTTCTTTCCTTCCGCTAGGGCCCGGCTGAGGAAGAGAGCCGCGGAGAGAGAAAGAGGGAGAGCTTAACTGTGATCGACACTCTGCCTCCGTGTGCTGCTGGCTGATGGACATTTATGAATGGTGTGACAACTAAGCTGCATCATGGAGCGCACACACGCATCTGTTGTCGAAAACTTCAGTTCAACCTCACTTTTCACTCGCCACGCACATATGCGCGCGAGGAGGTTCTGCGTTTTATGGAAGACTGCAGGTTTATTTCACCCTTAACTCTTCTCAGTGAGAGGCTGAGTGACTGGAATGGCCTATCGCACACACACAACACACACACACACATGCTAGCAGCAGGTTTATTTCACCTGCAGCTCTGTTCAGCAGGGGGCTCCTTGCGCATTTACCTGTCAGCCCCCCTCTGAGCGAGCCAGAGCGCTGCATGCACCAATAGGCGAAGAGCTGCCGGAGCTGCAGGGGTCATGATCAGAGCAGGGGAGTCGCACCCCGTTACCTGTCCATCACAGTGCAGGTGTCTCAGATCCATCACAGAGTACAGGCAGCCCGAGGGCACTTCTCAGTGCCCAACATAACAAATCAGGGAATCAACCCGGTGAATAGCCTGCTGATGTAGCTGAAATATGCGACTGAGCATAGCAATTCAGACTTCAGTCAATGCAGCGTGTCACTGAGCCGACTACGGGAGAGTTTGCTTCTTCTAATCTCCCCCAGAGGTATATTAAAGTGGAAATTATTGTAAGAGAATAGAATGTTTCAAACATGCATACAAAACAGTGGATTTTAAAAACAAAAGTGGGCTTTCAGTTGTTAAAAAAAAAACATTTCACAACAGCAGTCTGAAAATCAACAAGTACCTTTAAGTGCAAAGGAGGCTTTTTGGAATGAAAATTGTAGATAATTTCTGTCCCAATACAAAATTGCCTTTTTGCTTTTGCCTTTTAAACAGACATTGCATCTACCAACAATGTCTCATTTTTAAACTTTTCTCATAGTTTTTTCTTAAATTCTTCATATCCACAAACCATATAGAATTCTATCAACACTTTATACTCTTACTGCATTATCTGTGATGTTGCATATCACAAGAGCAATTACTGCAGCAGTAGCTCTACTATTGTTGAAATCTGCCTCAATGTCACTTTCTGTGAAAAAAAAAAAAAAAAAGCACCTAAGGGAGTATCTATAAATCAGGCGTTTAGGCCACAGGTTGAAATCATGACCTGTTTTTAAACAACCCACTCTATGACAGCTTCATAATGTCATGTCCTTCACCATGCAGCCAATCTGAAATATTTTCAGAGAGATCTGAACATGCATTTAGTTGCTGGTTTTCATTAGCTTGAACACTTCTGTGCCCCCATTTACAAACAGTGCATACATGAGTCATATGTGACCAGCAACGTGTGAGAACATCATGTAATTGATGAATAACATGAACTTCTGCTCCTCCATTACATGGAGTGCTTCTGCATATAATAATGACCCTCATGACACTTAACAATTTATCCTCTACCATTTCTACGCATTCATGCATTTTCAAAACAGCAAATAGATTTATTAAATATAATGTTTTTTCAATAAAGTGTATTTCAATTTTCTCTGCAAGTTAATTAAGCTGGTATGACTAAACCTCGTAGTTCTACACCTCTCCTGGTATCTCTGTCATGCAAATTGTGTTGAGCTACAATGTGTTTTCATAAGAACACCTGAATGCTGCAGAGAAAGAAATGGGAGAGAGAAAGAAAGAAAGACAGCAAAAAAAGAAAAACAACCTCACCATGCCTTTGCAGGTGTTCCGGCTATTTGCATTCATACACTGTTTCCAACAGCGAGCTGATGACTGTTAAAGACAGTTTTCTTCCATCTCTCATTTCTTCGCTGTTTCAGTCAGATAGTGTATAATGATTTTGCAGCAGTTAGGTCCAGATCATTGCTCTACATATCAAAACTCTGGATTCAAACTGTGATTCACAAAAAGAAAATGGGCAATATTTACACATGAGAGAAAATGTGTATTGCAATTTAGGCATGTTTTCCTTCTATTGTATTGTAATTAATGCTCATTTTGAGTCACGTCAGTGGTATAAAGGGGAGGACATGTATTCAATGCCTTT